CAGCCTGGAAAAGCATTTTGCCACCTTTTTTGTTTTGTTTTGTTTTTTGGCCAAATGACAATATTCCAAAAACAACAATAACAACCTGCACTGACTTAATATTCCACCCGATAAGATCGCCTCACGGGCGCTTCTTCTACCTGGGCATGTGCTTGGCACCTGAGAGCCCAAATAAAGGCTTTATAAAGTTAATTCTGGGAGAAAATTCAGTTTGCAGGGAAATTTGTCCGTTCTGCTAGCTGGTTCCTTTTTCGTGTTCTTTTTAGGTTTTGTTCCCGCTTGCTAAAAAACAAACCAGCAATTGGGGTTTGATATGGCAAGCCAGGATCCCTAAACCAAGATGGGCCCCACTTTTACAGACTACCATGTCCGGGTTAAGGCAGTGGTGAAATTCAATTTTTTTTATTATTACCGGTTCTGTGGGCGTGGCTTGGTGGGTGTGGCAGGGGAAGGATACTGCAAAATCCCCATTCCCCTCCCCACTCCTGGGGAAAGGATACTGCAAAATCCCCATTCCCTCCCCACTCCTGGGGAAAGGATACTGCAAAATCTCCATTCCCTCCCCACTCCTGGGGAAAGGATACTGCAAAATCTCCATTCCCTCCCCACTCCTGGGGAAAGGATACTGCAAAATCTCCATTCCCACCCCACTCCTGGGGAAAGGATACTGCAAAATCTCCATTCCCTCCCCACTCCTAGGGAAAGGATACTGCAAAATCTCCATTCCCTCCCCACTCCTGGGGAAAGGATACTTCAAAATCTCCATTCCCTCCCACTCCTGGGAAAGGATACTGAAAAATCTCCATTTCCTCCCCACTCCTGGGGAAAGGATACTTCAAAATCTCCATTCCCTCCCCACTCCTGGGGAAAGGATATTGCAAAATCCCCATTCCCTCCCCACTCCTGGGGAAAGGATACTGCAAAATCTCCATTCCCACCCCACTCCTGGGGAAGGATACTGCAAAATCCCCATTCCCACCCCACTCCAGGGGGAACGATATTGCAAAATCTCCATTCCCACCCCACTCCTGGGGGAAGGATACTGCAAAATCCCCATTCCCTCCCCACTCTGGGGCCAGCCAGAGGTGGTATTTGCCGGTTCTCCAAACTACTCAAAATTTCCGCTACCGGTTCTCCAGAACCTTCCAGAACCTGCCAGAACCTGCTGGTTGCTGGGTTGTTGTGAGGCGAAGGAAGAGAGGGAGTGCCGCCGGTATTCCTCGACTTACAAACCTTCATTTAGCGACCGTCCGAAGTTACAACGGCACGGGGGGGAAAAAAAAAGAAACCTAGGGCCCTTTTTCACACTTACGACCATTGTCGCGTCCCCATGGTCATGTGACCATGCTTGGCAATGGACTCGTATTTACGACGGTCAAAATTCAAACACTTGGCCACTGACTCAGATTTATGACGGTCGCAGCGTCCCGGGGTCACGCGCGCGATCCCCGTTTTGCGACCAAGTCAACGGAGAAGCCAGATTCGCTTAACGACGGTGTGATTAACTTAACAACGGCGGGGGTTCGTTTAACGACGGCGGCAAGACAGGCGGTGTAAAACGGGCGCTTCACAACTGTCTCGCTTAGCAGCATAAAGTTTGGGCTCCATTGCGGTCGTAAGTCGAGGACAACCTGTATTGCCTGAGCTAATTTAGCAACTTCTCTCTCGCCGTTGCTCTGCAGGAGAAAAACGTCCAAAGAGGGAACCTTGAATTTATTCTATAAACAGGTTTTATACCTGGCAAGGATTTTTTTCTTTCTTTCCCGGCTCTTGTCCGGCTTTGGTGTCCTTGAATCGCTGCCCACCCAACGTCCGGCTCCAAGCACGAGGAGATGGACAGCTCCCAAATTTCTCCCTTGAGTGGGGAAGTCAAGGCAGGATGTCAAACGGACGAGGGAAGGGAGGGCCCAGCAGAATCCTTGCACGTTAATTGACTTGGTTGAATTTCTCTCTTTCTTTTTCTCTCTTTCAATCTCTCTTTCTCCCTTTCTCTCTCTTTCTCTCTCTCTCTCTGTCTCTCTCTTTCTCTCTCTCTCTCTCTTGCTCTCTTTCTCTCACTCTCTTTCTCTCTCTCTTCTCTCTCTCTCTCACTCTCTTTCTTCTCTCTCTCTTTCTCTGTCTCTCATTTTCTTTCTCTCTCTTTCTCTCTTGTTCTTTCTTTCTCTCTCTCTCTTTCTCTCACTCTCTTTCTTTCTCTCTCTGTCTCTCTTTCTCTGTCTCTCTCTCACACTTTCTTTCTCTCTCTCCTTTCTCTCTCTCTCTCTCTCTCTCTCTTACTTTCTTTCTCTCTCTCTCTTGTTCTTTCTCTCTCTCTTTCTCTCACTCTCTTTCTTCTCTCTCTCTTTCTCTGTCTCTCTCTCATTCTTTCTCTCTCTTTCTCTCTTGTTCTTTCTTTCTCTCTCTTTCTCTCACTCTCTTTCTCTCTCTGTCTCTCTTTCTCTCTCTCTTTCTCTCACTCTCTTTCTCTCTCTCTCTTTCTCTCTTGCTCTTTCTCTCTCTCTCTCTTTCTCTGTCTCTCATTTTCTTTCTCTCTCTTTCTCTCTTGTTCTTTCTTTCTCTCTCTCTTTCTCTCACTCTCTTTCTTTCTCTCTCTGTCTCTCTTTCTCTCTCTCTCTCTCTCTTACTTTCTTTCTCTCTCTCTTGTTCTTTCTCTCTCTCTTTCTCTCACTCTCTTTCTTCTCTCTCTCTTCTCTGTCTCTCTCTCATTCTTTCTCTCTCTTTCTCTCTTGTTCTTTCTTTCTCTCTCTTTCTCTCACTCTCTTTCTCTCTCTGTCTCTCTTTCTCTCTCTCTTTCTCTCACTCTCTTTCTCTCTTGCTCTTTCTCTCTCTCTCTTTCTCTGTCTCTCTCACTCTCTTCTCTCTCTTTTCCTGTCTCTCTCTCACTTTCTTTCTCTCTCTTTCTCTCTTGTTCTTTCTTTCTCTCACTCTCTTTCTTTCTCTCTCTCTTTCTGTCTCTCTCTCACTTTCTTTCTTTCTCTCTCTCTCTTTCTCTCTCTCTCTCTTTCTCTCGTTCAAAGGTCTAAACGCCTTCCCAGCAGTGCAGTTGCTGAAAAAGAAGAGGTAGGCTGAGGAATTCATTGACTGTAACCCTCAGATTGTTTTCAACATGATGCATTTTTCTTCCTCTTCCTCCTCCTCCTCCTCCACCATCCCTCCTTCCTCTTCTCCTTCTCCTCCTTCTCTTTTTCCTAGCCCCTCTTCTCATCCACCATCCTTCCTTCTTCTCCTCCTCCTCCTCCTCCTCCTCCTTCTTCTTCCCCTTCCCCTTCCATCCTCCTCCTCCTCCTTCTCCTTCTCCTCCTCCTTCTCCTCCTCCTCCTCTTCCTCCTTCTTCTCCTTCCCCTTCCCCTTCTCCTCCTTCTCCTCCTCCTCTTTTTCCTAGCCCCTCTTCTCATCCACCATCCTTCCTTCTCCTTCTCCTCCTCCTCCTCCTCCTCCTTCTCTTCCTCCTCCTCCTCTTCCTCCTTCTTCTTCTTCCCCTTCCCCTTCTCCTTCTCCTCCTTCTCCTCCTCCTCTTTTTCCTAGCCCCTCTTCTCATCCACCATCCCTCCTTCTCCTTCTCCTCCTCCTCCTCCTTCTCCTTCTCTTCCTCCTCCTCCTCTTCCTCCTTCTTCTTCTTCCCCTTCCCCTTCTCCTTCTCCTCCTTCTCCTCTTCTTTTTCCTAGCCCCTCTTCTCATCCACCATCCTTCCTTCTTCTCCTTCTCCTCCTCCTCCTCCTCTTCCTCCTCCTTCTTCTTCCCCTTCCCCTTCCATCCATCTCCTTCTCCTCCTCCTTCTCCTCCTTCTTCTTCCCCTTCCCCTTCCCCTTCCATCCTCCTCCTCCTCCTTCCTTGTGCACAACTGTTGCAAACTGAACCCAAGGCTGGGACATTGGGTGACCAGACCACCCAAGCCCATCTGAGTTTGCAGTGGGTGGGTGGGAAACAGCCCAGCACATCTGGATGCTTGGCTTAGAGCTGTGGGCAGTTTCTGCTCCCAGGCGGCCAGGAGGGAGGAGAGCAGTGGGGTTAACACCATCCCTTCTCACTGTCCCATATTCCATTCCAGCAATCTTCTGAGGAGGCAGAGCCACAGCATTGGATGCCACGGTACGTGGGGCTGCTCGACCACGGGACGGGCTGAGGTTTCCACGTGGGAAAAGTGCCCTGTGCAAATTTCATCCTTCTTTGTGAATATATTTATGGCTGTGTGTGTGTGTGTGTGTGTGTGTGTGTGTGGTATGATGGGGAGGGGGTTCAGAAGCCTTTCCCCCAAACCCCTTTAGAAATTCCAGGCAGTCCTCGTTGGAGATCTTCTCGATATCTAGAAAATATTTGCATATAGGAAAACCAGTCCGTCTTAACATCCCTGATCTTCTAGTTCCTGCTTTATTTTATTTTTATTTATTTTATTTTATTAGATTTATTTATTAAATTTTATTAGATTTATATACCGCCCTACTCTCGAAGGACCTTAATTTAAGTTCACCCTTTTCATCCAATAATTCACTATATCTAATGATTTGTTCCCTTTTAAATATTACTGGATATGAAAAAAGCTTCAATTGTAGATAGACCAGACTGGAATCTTCAGATAGTGATTTTTTTTTAACCTTCTCCCAATTTTTATTTTTTTTTAATTTGATTTGATTTATATGCCGCCCTTCTCCGAAGACTCAGGGCGGCTTACAATGCGTTAAGCAATAGCCTTCATACTTTTGTATATTTTATATAAAGTCAGCTTATTGCCCCCACAATCTGGGTCCTCATTTTACCTACCTTAGAAAGGATGGAAGGCTGAGTCAACCTTGAGCCTGGGGAGATTTGAACTTGCAGTAATTGCAGGCAGCTGATGTTAATAACAGTGCTTTAGTCTGCTGCGCTACCAGGGCTCAATTCAACCATAAAGCTTCCCGTATCTGATGTCTTCTAAAATACCCCTGTATTTTAATTCTTTTATACCATAGAAAGGCCTGCCATCCCATCAACAAATCATGTCCCTCCGAGTTCAATAATCTAGTATAACATGGGTCATATATTGATATCTTGAAGAGTTTTGTGAGCACGAAAAGATTTTAACCGACCGAAACACTGTCTGTAATTGTTTGAAAGGATGATGCTTTTATGTTGTTGTTTTTTTTTTGTTTGAAAAATAAAAAAATAAAAAATTTGGAAAAAAAAGAAAAAGAAATTACAGACAGTCCTCGACTTACAACAGTCCGTTTAGGGACCGTTCCAAATGACAACGGCACTGAAAAAAAGGGGACTTGTGACCCTTTTTCACACATACGACCGTGATAGCATCCCCCAAGTCACACGGTCAAAATTCAAAGACTTGGCCACTGACTCAGATTTGTGACTGTCGCAGTGTCCCGGCGACCTTCCAGCGAGCAAAGTCAACGAGGAAACTCGACTCACTTAGCATCCGTGTGCCTAACTTCACAACGGCGGTGATTCGCTTAACAGCGGTGGCCAGAAAGGTGGTAAAACGGGGCAAAACTCCCTTAGCAACGGCCTTGTTGAGGGATAGAAATTTTGGGCCCAATTGGGGTCGCAGGTCGAGGACCGCCTGTATAACTTCAACATCGTGCTGAAACGAAGTCTTAAATTCTTTTTCGTTTTCTCCTCAAGGTTTCTGAAGAAATCCAAACCGAAGAGGATTGCCAGCTTCCGTACAGTAAATATTTGTGAATATTTTTTTTTCTTTTGGTGTAGTTTTTTTTGGGGGGGGTTTGAAACTTTCTGGACGACAGAATTATATTTGTAAATCTCGATGTTGCTATTCAACCGTTCACGTGATTTCCTCCAATCTATATATATATGAAAGCGAAAACCACTCACGCGTTAATCACGAAATCTCCAGAACCGTAAAGTCTACAAACTTGAAATTTGCCACGGATTTTTCGAAATGACCATCAGAGCATTAGTATTTCCTATATTATTATTAACACGTTCTGGTGGCTAAGGAGTTCTACTCCTCCTCCCCACCTGAAAAGAAATCTGTTCCAAATGCAAAAAACACAAGCAGAGGAGAGGAGTTTCACTTTCAGTTTCACTTTCACAGCAGCAAGCAGCTTTACTACAGAACAGTTGAGCTAAGCCATGCCCAGCCTCCTTCCTTTCTCCTTCTTGCTCACACAGCAAATACTCTTTGAATTTCCAAACACCCCTCACTCTCTCTCTCACACACTGGCAGGATGCTAGCCAGATGAATACCGATGGATGCTGCCGGCTGGGACATTCTACTCCCCCTCTGTTCCAACTGCCAGTTGCATTATATTAACACACTCTGATGCTACGGAGATACACATTCTACATTACGTTTCAGGCTGCAAGTGTCAATTGATCAAGCCCGAGCACATAGTTTCATAGCTAGTCTCATCATCAACATGAGTTTAGCAAAGGATGGGTTTTATACGGGACTGAGGTGTTCTCAAGGGGTCTTCTACCCCGGCCAGAGGTGATGGGTATTGTAGTCCAGGAGAACATTGGATTGGGGAAAACTGACTTGGAATAAGTGAGTTTTTTAGCATGAGGGAAAACTTAACGGCCTGAGTTTGGGGTGGTTTGTCTTTCTGATCTGTTCTTCTTTCATGTAAGCTGTCTGTGTGTGTTTGTATTTTGTAGAAATCCTTGAAGAAATTGCAGCTGGGAGGAGACCAGGTGACAGAGTATGTTCTCTTGGAAAGTAAAAAAACAACAACACGGATCACCCTTTCCCTCAGCGTTGAAAAAGCAAAAATAAAACTTAAGAAAAGTTTACTTTTAGAGAAAGCCAGGAATTTACCAAAAGGCGTGGAATGCTACAGGCAAAATGAAAACTGGTGATTTCCCCAGCCAGCATGCTCTAAAATGGGTGGACTTCAACTCCCAGAATCCCCCAACCAGCATCCTTTAAGATGGGTGGACTTCAACTCCCAGAATCCCCCAGCCAGCATCCTTTAAGATGGGTGGACTTCAACTCCCAGAATCCCCCAACCAGCATCCTTTAAGATGGGTGGACTTCAACTCCCAGAATCCCCCAGCCAGCATGTTTTAAGATGGATGGACTTCAACTCCCAGAATCCCCAATCAGCATGCTTTAAGATGGGTGGACTTCAACTCCCAGAATCCCCCAACCAGCATCCTTTAAGATGGGTGGACTTCAACTCCCAGAATCCCCCAATCAGCATGCTTTAAGATGGATGGACTTCAACTCCCAGAATCCCCCAACCAGCATCCTTTAAGATGGGTGGACTTCAACTCCCAGAATCCCCCAGCCAGCATGCTTTAAGAAGGGTGGACTTCCACTCCCAGAATCCCCAGCCAGCATGCTTTAAAAGGGATGGGCTTCAATTCCCAGAATCCCCCAACCAGCATGCTGACTGGGGAATTCTGGGAGTTGAAGTCCACCCATCTTTAAGTCGCTAATGTGGAGAAATATTATTTTAACGGGTACCACTAAATGGCTCTCTGTCTCACTTTTACTCTTGCTAACCGGCTGAGTAACTTCAATATCTATTTTTAAAAATTGGGCAAAGAATTTATTTTATTTTATTATTTTATTGCCGTCGGTCATTTTTTTTCACTTTCTCCAGCTACTTTGATCCAACTTTTCTTTTCTTCCAAGGTTGTCTAAAATCTTCAGCGAGGATTTCTTCAAGAGCCAAGATAGGGTATGTGTTGGCTAAAATGGTGAGGTTTTATTTCGGTGTTTTGTCTGTTTTTTATTATCCTGCCCCGTTTTCCTGAGATTTTGTTGATTACCAAAACGGAAGTGATGTTCAATCTCGAGACACAACCTTCTGTGTATAGCCTAAATTCCTCTTAATTTCAGACACTGTAGAAGGAATGGCGATCAAACCCCAGAGCATCTCCATCTACCCGAATAAATCTAGTTATAGGTGGTCCTCGGCTTACGACCACAACTTGAGCCCAACATTTCTGTTGCTAAGTGAAACACTTGTGAAGTGAATTTTGCCCCGTTTTACGATCTTCCTCGCCACGGTTGTTAAGTGAATCTGACTTCCCCCGTTGACTTGGCTTGTCAGAAGGTCGCAAAGAGGGATCCCGTGACCCCATGACAACGCCAGCGTCATAAATACGAGTCAGTTGCCAAGCGTCTGAATTTTTAATCATCTGAGCATGGGGAGGCTGCAATCATTCTAAGTGCGAGTCACATTTTTTAGTCTGGTTGTAACTTCAAATGGTCACTAAACGAACTGTTGTAAGTTCAAGGACTACCTGTATTCAATTATCCCTTTCTTAGATTCGTGCTAGGCACAGAAAAGCTAACCAAGCCAATTGACTTATGACCGTTCTGTTCAGCGACCGTTCAAATTTTTACCAGTGCCGAGAAAAAGTGACTTACAAACTGCTCCTCACAGTGAAGAGAAGGACCAAGGGGGGACATGATAGCATCTTCCAATATTTGAGGGGCTCCCTTCCAACTCTGTTAATCTAATCTAATCTAATCTAATCTAATCTAATCTAATCTAATCTAATCTAATCTAATCTAATCTAATCTAATCTAATCTGTTCCCTATTGCAGATGTAAATCGAGGGTTATCCATAATCAAAATATTTCGAACTTCCGTTCCTGCATTTTGCACACAAACCCAAAAAATTATTTGCAATGTGCAAAACTGGTCAATGCAGGAAGAGATTTGGGGGGGGGGGATAAGAGGCTGTACCACCCACCCCTCAAAAAAGAAAAAAGAAAAAAAAACCGATGGGCCAAGGGAAGGTCATTCTCATCTGTCTTGTGTTCTTCCAGAGAGTCTCCGAAGATATCGCCGATGAAGATCTACCCCAAGGTACACACGGTGGTGGCCAGACAACGGAGAGACCTTCACATCCGGGCCTTTGACCCAAGGAATTGGGGTGGGGGTGGGAGGGAGGGAGGGAGAAGAAACTGGCTGCCCAGGTTTGCTCTGACGAATTGAACAAACTCTGTTTAATGGGGAAAACGAAGCGGTTCTGCTTACAACTCGGGAGAAACTTCCTGACAGAACAATTCACCAGTGGAACAGCTTGCCACCAGAAGGTGGGGTGCTGCTCCATCCCTGGAGGCTTTTAAAGAAGAGATTGGACAACCATTTGTCTGGAATGGGGAATAGGGCAGCGATGGCTAACCTTTTTGCCATCGGGTGCCAAAAGTGGGGGGGGAGTGCGAGGGGGGGTCAAATGCATGTTTCCCGACACCCATAATTCAGTGCCTGCCCCCCATGCATGCATGTGTGATCCCCCCCCGGCGCTTCCCCTGCTTTTGGCACACGATGGGCCCTGTAGGCCTGTTTTTTTGCCCTCCCCAGGCTCCAGAGGCTTTCTAGGAGTCTGGGGAGGGCACAAATAGCCTTCCCCATTTCCCCGGAGGCCAGAAATTGCCCATTTCCCGATTTCTGGTGGGTCCAAAAGGCCCAAAAATCAGCTGGCTGGCGTACACATGCATGCATGCTGGAGCTGAGCTAGGGCAATGCTCGCGTGCCCACAGGTATGGCTCTGTGTGCCACCTGTGGCACTCGTGCCTTAGGTTCGCCATCATGGGGATAGGGGGTTGTCTGGAATGCCTGAGCAGGGGGTTGGACTAGAAGACCTCTAAGGTCCCTTCCAACTCTCTTATTCTGCTTTTTTCCGTTAGCTAAGGTGTTCGCTTTAATTTTGTCCTCTGTTCTCCTCCTTTTTCTCTTTCTATTAGTCCTGAGGATACTCCACAGCAAAATGAAGAGGTAGGGGAAGTGCCAAACGCCCCCTCCCCAAATTTTTGTGTTTGTGTGTGTGTGTGTATTTTGGCTCAACATGTGGTTCGGTTGTTTCAAATGTTTTTGTGAAGCTCCGAGCAGGATTGCAAAAACGATCTGTCCAAAATGATCCTGCCTTCTTTGAGAGTTCGTGTGTGTCATTACACAGACAGTCCTTGTTTAGTGACCGTTGCCGGTGACGACGGGCATGATAAAGGGACTTTGCCACCATTCCCTTCGTTTGAGAAACCTGGGCAGACTGTCTGCGAAGCTGGAGTCAGATTGCAAGCATCATTGAGGTTTTCCCCTTGGCACCCGTTTTCACTTAATGACCAAATGACCAGTTCCTGTTACGGTTGTTAAACGAGGACTACCTTGGTCTCACCCCTGGGCCTTCTTTTTACAGTCGCATTTCGTTTTTCCAAACCTTGAAGTCTTCCCCAGTGCTCTGTATATATAATATACAAAATATTTAATTTTTTCCCCCTCTTTCTTAATGCTTTTTCTACGTCTTTTTTTTTCTCCTCGTTTTCCCAGGAGTCGAAACAAATTCAGGAGGAGGCTAAGAAACAGGAGGGTGAGTCATTTTTGTTCCTCGCCAGGTAACGGAAAGACCTATCAAGAGATGCTGGAGAATTTCAAATATTCCTGAAATTATTGCTTGTGCATTACAAGTACCATATTTTTCGGATTATATAAGATGCACCAAAATTTAGAAGAGGAAAACAACAACAAAAAGTTTTTGGCCTCCACGCACCCATTTTCAGGCCTTTTTCCAGCCCATTTCGAGGCTTTCTCTGGCCCGTTTTCGGGGCTTTTTTCACCACATTTTTGGCCCTGTTTTCTGGGCTTTTTTTGGCCCATTTTTGGCCCTTTTTTCAGGGCTTTTTTGGCCCATTTCAAGCCTTTTTCAAGAGCTTTTTTCAGCCCTTTTTGAGGCTTTTTCTGGCCCATTTGCAAGGCTCTTTTCGGCCCTTTTTTCAAGGCTTTTTTCGGCCCCTTTTCAAGGCTTTTTCTGGCCCATTTTCAGGCCTTTTTCCAGAGTTTTTTTCAGCCCTTTTTGAGGTTTTTGGGGGGCTGTTTTGGGGCCTTTTTTCGGCCCTTTTTGAGGCTTTTTGGGGCTGTTTTTGGGGCTTTTTGGCCCATTTTTTAGGCTTTTGGGGGGCTGTTTTTGAGGCTTTTTTTGGCCCATTTTTAGGCTTTTTGGGGCCTGTTTTCTGGGCTTTTTTTGGCCCATTTTTGGCCCTTTTTTCAGGGCTTTGTTGGCCATTTCAGGCCTTTTTCCAGAGCTTTTTTCAGCCCTTTTTGAGGCTTTTTCTGGCCATTTGCAAGGCTCTTTTCGGCCCTTTTTTCAAGGCTTTTTTCGGCCCTTTTTCAGGCATTTTCTGCACCATTTTCAGGCCTTTTTCAGGGCTTTTTTCAGCCCTTTTTTAGGCTTTTTCTGGCCCATTTGCAAGGCTCTTTTCGGCCCTTTTTTCAAGGCTTTTTTCGGCCCTTTTTCAGGACATTTTCTGGCCCATTTTCAGGCCTTTTTCCAGGGTTTTTTCAGCCCTTTTTGAGGTTTTTTTTGGGGGCTGTTTTGGGGCTTTTTTCGGCCCTTTTTGAGGCTTTTTTGGGCCTGTTTTGGGGGCTTTTTTGGCCCATTTTTTAGGCTTTTGGAGGCCTGTTTTTGAGGCTTTTTTGGCCCATTTTTTAGGCTTTTTGGGGCCTGTTTTCTGGGCTTTTTTTGGCCCATTTTTGGCCCTTTTTTCAGGGCTTTGTTGGCCCATTTCAGGCTTTTTCCAGAGCTTTTTTCAGCCCTTTTTGAGGCTTTTTCTGGCCCGTTTGCAAGGCTCTTTTCGGCCCTTTTTTCAAGGCTTTTTTCGGCCCTTTTTCAGGGCATTTTCTGGCCCATTTTCTGGCCTTTTTCCAGGGCTTTTTTCAGCCCTTTTTAGGTTTTTTTGGGGGGCCTGTTTTGGGGGCTTTTTTGGGCCCATTTTTTAGGCTTTGGGGGCCTGTTTTTGAGGCTTTTTGGCCTATTTTCAAAGCTTTGTTTGGACCGTTTTCAAGGGTTTTTTCTGCCCGTTTTCAAGGCTTTTTTCGGCCTCGGTTTTTGTTTTTTTCAGAAAGAACAGGTGAAAAAAAGGCCGAAAAAGACCAAAAAAAAGGCCTAAAAACAGGACATGTGGAGCCCAAAAAACAGCCGATGGTTGGCAATATTCGGTCTATAAGACGCACAGACATTTTCACTCCCTTTTGGGAGACAAAAAAATGTGTTTTATAATCCAAAAAATACAGTAGTCCTTGACTTACAACAGTTCATTGAGTGACCATCCAAAGTTACAACGGCACTGAAAAAAGGGATTACGACCGTTTTTCACTCTCGTGACCATTACAGCATCCTCATGGTCATATGATCAAAATTTGGATTCTTGGCCACGGACTCATATTTATGACGGTTGCCAAGTCCCAGGGTCACATGAGCCCCTTTTACGACCTTCTGACGAGCAAAGTCAACGTGGGAAAGCCAGATTCACTTAACAAACGGATCGCTAATGAACAACTGCCGTGCTTCACTTATGGCAAATGTGGCAAGGGAAGTCATAAAATGGAGCGAAATTCTCATATAACAGCAGAAATTTTGGCCTCAATTTTGGTCGTAAGTCGAGGACTTGCCTGTTATTGGCTCCTCAGATAATTCTCTCCAGATCTCCAAGCAGATCTGCTCCTTGTAAGCGCCGTAAAAGTGAGGTCACCGATCCAGCACCCCCCACCCACCCACCTACCCACAAATTTAGAAATGTGAAATTCCACTTTGTTCCTTAGCTTTCGGCCACCGGATTCTCAGTTCTCCCTACCTTCTGCGCCTGCCTGCCAATTGCATGTCATTTCGGAGACACGTAATACAGGCCGACAATCACCCGGTGGAGAGAGCCGGTCGATTGCAAATTGGCTCACTTCTTGCACTCAAAATAATGCACTGAAGACTGCCAGGCGCTGTTCACCTAGAAGAGCTCACATAAGCCTGCATTCCCGTAAGCCTTCCCAGGTGAACCAGAATGTAGACAGGATCAAACCGGTTAATGGTTCTTTACTGCAAGACTACATTAACAGAATTTTGCAAGCCTAAAAGTACATCCCTCCACCCCACTTTACAGGCCAAGGCACTAGGGAGGGTCCCTTCTGTGCCCCCTCTCTCTTTCTCGAGGTAGTCTGCGACATACGACCACAATCAAGCCCAACATTTCTGTTGCTAAACGAGACAGTGAACGTTGCCTTATTTCTCGCCACCGTTCTTAAGGGAATCACTGCACTTGTTAAGTTGTTAAGCGAATCGGGCTTCCCCATCGACCAATGTTGGCGAACTTTTTCAGCACCAAGTGCTGAAATGGGAGAGTGTGTGCATGCAGGAGCGCTGGAAACCAGAAGAGCAGCTCCGGAACTGAGCTTCCGGTTTCCGGCGCACCATGTGGTCTTCCTGGTGTGCATGCGTGCGTGACCAGCACGCATGTGCATCTCAGAAACCAGAAGCTCAGCTCTTCCGGTTTCCGGTGCTCCCACGCACGCGACCAGTTGGCCGGCCAGAACCCAACGGGCGACAACTGGCGTGCCTGAAGAGATGGGTCTGTGTGCCACTTCCGGCACACATGCCATAAGTTCCTTATCACAGCCATAGACTTTGCTTGTCCGAAGATGGTACTGGTTTCCCAATGGAACTGAAAATCCTTTGACTTGTATACTTTGGTGGGATTCAAATAATTTAACAACCGGTTCTCTGCCCTAATGACCAGCTGGGTAGGCGTGGCTCAGTGGTCATGTGACTGTGTGGGCATGGCCAACTTGACGTCACTCACGTCGATGGGTGCTTTGCCTTAGCTGTTACAATGTAATAAGGGTTAACCAGAGAGGCAATTTCTGAAAGTAGGGCAATAAAGATTAGGCTAGAAGCAACACCAGAATGTTTCAGTTCCTTACAGGATTAGCCCTGTAAAGTGGGAAAAAAACAAAATAAGATTTCTTCCAAAAACCGGTTCTCTGAACTGCTTAGAAAGTTAAAAACCGGTTCTCCCGAATCGGTGCGAACCGGCTGAATCCCACCACAAGTTGTATAGCTTTTCTCCTCATTGTCCCTTTCTCCTGTCTAGAAGTTCCTAGTAGTTCGTTGTGGCACATGGGCCAGCGGACCAGTCACAAGGAAAGGGGCCACTCCCGCGAGTTTCCAGACTCCATTTTTAAGGTGACTGTGTGAACAGGGAAAAGAAGAGCACCTGATTCAAAAAAAAAAAAAAAACAATTTTGGCAAACTCTGTGGCAGGTTTGAGAAGAGTATTCTTCAAAGGCAGCAAATATTGAGATATATATATATATGTAGGTCTTTGGTTATTCGGGTCTTCTCCCACGTAAAATTGGAAGTGTCTTGGCGACGTTTCGACGAAGTCTCATTCGTCATCTTCAGGCTGGTGTTCTCGGCTTCGTGCTTCCAGGAGCAATGAATTGCTCCTGGAAGCACGAAGCCGAGAACACCAGCCTTTATATATATTAAAAATCTCACTGGGGATTTCTCTCCAGCTGGAAGGATCTTGGCTATTTTTTATTTATGATAGTTTAGGTTCTGATAGCGATCTATTTTAGTGTTTCTCAACCTTGCCAACATTAAGATGGGTGGACTTCAACTCCCAGAATTCCCCAGCCAGTGTGTCCGGCTGGGGAATTCTGGGAGTTGAAGTCCACACCCCAAGATTGAAAAATGCTGGTCTACTTTTGCCTTATCTGCCTGGTGACTTTATTTGGCAGTTTATCCGATGGTCTGGCTGTGTCTTGACTCGAATTGTGTTATTTTCTTTTTGTGTTATTTTCTTTTATTTTGCAATCCCCCCCAAAAAAATATAGGACATTGGGTGTTTCGAAAAGGTTAGATAGACGAGCATTGTAAATCCATAATTAAGAGGAAAAGTGGTGGATTTAACCAGACAGGGGAAATGGTGGATTTTTGGGGGGTGTTTTAGGAAGAATTTTTGCAAATGCAAAATTAACCTTCGGTCTTTCGTTGTTGTTTTTTTTTTCCTTTTTCTAGGACAAAGCATACAAGCAGAAATTTGCAAAGCACGAACGAGACTCTAAAGTGGTTGTGAGTTTTTGCTGTCATCCTGATTTCTGCATCTCTGCTTGGTGATGTTTCCTATCTCTGCGCTTGGTTGGTTCAATTGATTTGGTCCTCCGAACCATAGTTTGCTTTTCTCTCTGGTTTGTTTTTTTTCCCCCCCTGATTTTATTTTATCAGTTGGGCAATTTGGTCCAGCTCTAGATTTAGCTGGCCCTGGAATATTAACGCTTTCGTTTTAAATTTTATGTTCATTTTCCAAGGCAGTCATTCGTTTGGCAAATCACAAAGCCAATCGCAACTATTTATTGCTCCCTTCAACAAACATTCACCATCATCTTTTAACAACCCCATAAATCCCTTGCGGGGTGGAGTCTGGGCAACTGAATGGAGTTGAATGTTTACTGGCCGGATGCCCTTCCTGTCACCAGGGCGGAGTTTTGTTCAGCAGATATATTCTCATTGCGCCCAGAGAGAGAAATATCTGCCTCTACCTAGGAATCGAACTCGCAGCCTCCCCTGATTGCGAGGCGAGAGTTCCACCACTAGGCCACCGCACCGCTCAAGTTCCTGGGAAACACTACAGTGCCCATCATCCACACCCAAGCAGAATTGCCAATTCTCCCACCTTCAGTTGGAAATTGAAAGTGGCCGGCTGGTCAACGATCTGAAATTGCAAAATTTGGAGTAAAGTAACGTTTGGGATTTCAAAAGGTTGTCAAATCTTGGATGGTGCAACTACCCTCCCAATGGGTATCCGCAGAGGAAGAGGGGTCCCCCCCCAAAAAAATGGTTGCCATTTTGACTTTTTTGACTTTTTAAGACTTTCTCTTGCCACCTCTCAGGTGCCTTTACCTCTCCAAGAAATGATAGAAGAAGAAGTCTTGGCAATCTTAAAGGCTACGCTGCTCTGTGAGTTAACTTAAATGTACACATTTATCTTTATTACAGCCAAAGGCCAAAGATATAACTGAAAAGCAATTACTTTCATATAGTCCTCCACTTATGACAGTTCATTTAGTGTCCGTCCAAAGTTACAATATCACTGAAAAAATGTGACTTACAACATGTCCTCGACTTATCATAGCGCCTCGACTTAAACGACCATTGCAGCATCCCCACGGATGTGTGATCCAAATTTATCCGCTTAACAACCGGCCTGTATTTACGACAGTAGAAGCATTTGCGGGGGTGGGAGGGCAGGGGTGAAATCCAGCAGGTTCTGACAGGTTCTGGAGAACCGGTAGCGAAAACTTTGAGTAGTTTGGAGAACTGGCAAATACCACCTCTGGCTGGCTCCAAAGTGGGGTGGGAATGGAGATTTTGCAGTATCCTTCCCCTGGAGTGGGGAGGGAATGGGGATTTTGCAGTATCCTTCCCCTGGAGTGGGAGGGAATGGGGATTTTGCAGTATCCTTCCCCTGCCACGCCCACCAAACCTCACCACGCCCACCAAGCCACGCCCACAGAACCGGTAGTAAAAAAAAATTAGATTTCACCACTGGGGGAGGGGGTGTCACGTGCTCAGTATTTGCGACGATTCCAGCCAGCTTCGGACAAGCAAGTCCTTGCGGGAGGGGAGGTAGCTTCGCTTAACGATCAGGCGATTCACTTAGCAACGGCTAACCACTGCGGACAAAAGTTTGTAAATTGAGGCGTGGCTCGCTTTAACAACACGTTCTAGCTGAGCGACAGAAACCCTGGTCGTAAGTCGAGGACTCTCTGACCCGAGGAGACGCACTTCTGAACTGCGAAAGGGGGGAATCTTTTACCCCAAGAGGAAGTTTAAAATTCCAAATCTTGTTTGTTTTTTTTCTCCTTTCCAACCCAATTCAGCTTATCAGAAAAGACTAGGGGTGAATCACCCCCTCACCGGACAGATGGAGGATCAGGTTGACAAGTTACACCTGCAGTTACAAGGAAGGGGAGTCATCTGAGCCCCAAAAATCCAGACTCGGAAGGATCACCACCCCCACTTCTCTCCATCCCTCTCGGGGAGCCCCCCCCCAGGTCTCAACTCTGCCACTCCCCCCCCCAAAACTGGGAAGTAAAGAAGTAAATTTCGCTTTTTTCAACAAAAAAAAAAACCTTTTAAATTTCAGCCTCTTTTGTCAATGAAAGTCTCCGCATTTTAATCCAAGTGTTTCTCAAGCTTGCCCACTCAGAGATGGGTGGACTTCAACTCCCAGGATTCCCCAGTCAGCAGGTTTTCTCCGCCTCCTCCCAAATCCCCATTCCCTTCTAGCATTGATGACGTTACCTAGTTGGTCCTTGAAACGTCTGTAAGGAAACAACCCAGATCAGAGAGCACCAAGGACCGCACAGTCCTCTTCCTCCTCCTCTTCCTCCTCCTCCTCCCCTCCTCCTCCTCCTCCTCTTCCCCTCCTCCTCCTCCCAAATTCAACTCTGATCAACACTGATGATGTTACCTACTTGGGCCTTGAAACGTCTGTAAGGAAACAACCCAGCTCGGAGAGCACCAAGGAGCCCTCCTTTCGACCCTGAGCTACAAATAATTTCCTTTTTTTTCCCCCTGCTGCCCCCTGACGCCCCTCTGAAACACCCAACCCACACACCCCTTCCTCTTTCTACATGCACATTGCCAATCAAACTAGACGGGCATCGCCTGGCATTTTCTGGCAATGCCCCGTAGCTTCGTTGCACTTTTATCCGTCCTTCCGCTGGTTGTCGTTCGACCCGGCCGAGATTTTATCCGCAAAGGATCTACCACCGGCAGCAAACCCTCCCCCCCCCAATTCAGACCTAGATCGCTTTTAAGAAAGTCCTGGTGGAGTGGGGGGGGGTGCAAAGCTGGCTCAGAATCCATGTGCCAAGGTCCTCTGCCATGCCACAAAGGGGAAAAAAATGTCTCTGGTCATGCGCAGACCGCCAATCTCATGCCCCAACCACCGGCCGCACGCAGCTCAGCTCTCAAAGATGAATTTTCTCGACAATGAGGACTAGACTCTTGAGAAGGGTTTCTTCACTGTAGAAGTTCTCCTGGTTTTAAGGGTGAAAAACGGGGATTCTTATCCAATGATTATTTTTTTTTTTGGGATGAAAGTGGAAAGGGGGCTCTCCTCCTCGCCAGCCTCACACACACTCACACATACTCTCGCACCCATTTTAACGGCAACGGCAGGATTTCACAACCATGTTGCTCAGCTGCTGGACTTTGGGCTGGCGGCCGACGTAATACAGGATGGTCAAAGGTTCCAATTTGCGGGCCACGCAACAAGGGGCAGCTGAGCCTTCGGGGTTCACCTTACTGTATAGGGGAAGCACCTGCAGAAAAAGGAGGTGCAAAAGGAAGAAGAAAAAAAAAGGATCAGGGACCAAATTATCTCCCAACCCCACTCCCCAATTCCAGTACAGCCCATCATTGGTTTCAAAGCTCCTTTAGACCACCCACCCAATTAAAAAGGCCTTCCTGAAATTTTACGTCAATCCTTTCTTTAAAAAAAAAATAATAATTCTCCCCTCATTTTTCAAACAGGAGTTTGCAAACCGAGTCCCAGATGCAAAAGCCTAAAATCAAACAGGGGGGGAAAAAAAAGGCAAACATTTAAACGCAGCCAATTTTTAAATCTATATGGATTCAAAATCCAGGGGGAGATAGATAGATAGATAGATAGATAGATAGATAGATAGATAGATAGATAGATAGAGCCAATTTTTAAATCTATATGGATTCAAAATCCAGGGGGAGATAGAAAGATAGATAGATAGATAGATAGATAGATAGATAGATAGATAGAGCCAATTTTTAAATCTATATGGATTCAAAGTCCAGGGGGAGATAGAAAGATAGATAGATAGATAGATAGATAGATAGATAGATAGATAGAGCCAATTTTTAAATCTATATGGATTCAAAGTCCAGGGGGAGATAGAAAGATAGATAGATAGATAGATAGATAGATAGATAGATAGATAGATAGAAAGAAAGATAGATAGGGCCAATTTTTAAATCTATATGGATTCAAAGTCCAGGGGGAGAGATGGATAGATAGATAGATAGATAGATAGATAGATAGATAGATAGATAGATATTAAAAGAGTTCCCAGTCTGAAAAAAACATTTGAAAACCTCTGTTTTAAAAGGTGCAAAGGCTTTTAAATGGTTTTAAAACTGGGAAGTCTTGTTAGTTTAAATATATATATATATTTTTTGAAAGGTTCTTTTAATAACAGGGGGTCTCCAAACTTGGCAACTTTGTGGGTTTCAACTCCCAGAATTCCTTATCTGGCATGCTTTAAGAAGGTGGACTTCGACTCCCAGAATTCCCTAGATGTCATGCTTTAAAATGGGTGGACTTCGACTCCCAGAATCCCCTGTCATCATGCATTAAGATGGGTGGACTTCAACTCCCAGAATTCCCTAGATGTCATGCTTTAAGATAGGTGGACTTCAATTCCCAGAATCCCCTGTCATCATGCATTAAGATGGGTGGACTTCAACTCCCAGAATTCCCTAGATGTCATGCTTTAAGTTGGGTGGACTTCGACTCCCAGAATCCCCTGTCATCATGCATTAAGATGGATGGACTTTAACTCCCAGAATCCCCCAGCCAGCATGCTTGAAAATGGATGGACTTCGACTCCCAGAATCCCCCAGTCGGCATGCTTTAAGATGGGAGGACTTCGACTCCCAGAATTCCCCAGCCAACCGGCTGATTGGAGGCTGATTCTCACCATGTTATGACGCATATTGGTAGTTAGGCTATATTGGCAGCTGCCAGAGCAGAAATTCGCTTTGTATCCTTTGGGCTGATGGATCCACTTCCACTTCAGATCCTTCCGAAAATCTATATATAGTGGGTGAAGGCAGCAGTCTTTATCCGAATTCCTGCATGAAGCCAGAAGAAGAAGAATTTCAGGAGTCGAATCACATGGCGTTAATCAGTGGAACTCACAGCCACAAGATAGAACGATACACAAGTATTCCTCAACCTATAAACCGTTCATTTACTGACTGTCCGAGGTTACAACCGCAGTGCAAAAAGCGACTTAGGACCGTTTTTCACACTTACGACCGTCGCACCTTCCCCATGCGATCCAAATTCAGAGGCTTCGCAACTGACTCATACTTACGACAGTTTCAGTCTCCCAAGTCATGTGATTCTCTTTCGCGGCCTTCCAACAAGCAAAGTCGAACGGGGAAGCCAGGTTCACTTAACAACGTGTTGCTGCTAACTTAACAACCGCACTGGTTCGCTTAAGCATCCGGCTTCCCTCTTGACTTTTACTTCTGAAAAGGTCGCAAAATGGGAATCACGTGACCCCCCCCACCCATCCCACCCCACCCCGGGGACGCGGCAGCCGTCATAAATACGAATAAATATATTGGCATAAATATACGCCAAGCGTTTGAATTTTGACCACGTGGGGATGACGCAACGGTCGTTAAGTGTGAAAAACGGGCACCAGTCGGCTTCTCAGCGTCGCCGTAACCTCGAAACGGTCACTAAACGAAGGCTTGTAAGTCAAGGACTCTCTATACACAAATGTTCTTGTTTTTGCAAATCCGGTGGGGGATTGTGCAATTTTTTTTTTGAGTTCGTGCCTAGAGCGATTTCAGAGTCCGTCGTTCTGCTGGATGTTTTGGATCTCACCTGGGGCAGCTGCGGGTGTGAGCTGCCCGGCGATGCCGACCCTTCGGGGCGGGGTCCAGCTGGTTTGGGGGCAGCAAGGTGAGGATCAGGTGTGGGGCTTTGTGTGTGAGATCCGGGAGCCTGGACCAGCCTTTCCACGCTTCCTTGATGAGGTTTTCATCCAGACCTGTAAAATATACAGAAAACACAGACTTGGATTTTGGTGCCCGCAGGAAGAGTTTGGAAAATTCACTCCTCCGCGACTCGCACTCCACCACGAGGGAGGAGGAGTGGCGAAGAGGTTGGATTAACAGATTTATCCTCCTGGACAGATTTAACCGGAGAGGAAACGTGACTTATTTCTACTTGGAGGAGTCCTTGGGAGCTCTCTGGGCTTCGTGACTTTCTTGCAAGACGTTTCGAGACCCAACTAGCTAACATCATCAGTGCTAGAAGACAGTGCGGTTTATGGAGAGGAAGAGGAGGGGGAGGAGAAGGAGAAGGAATGGCAGAGGAGGAGGGGGAGGAGGAAGAGGAGGAAGAGGAGGAGGAGAAGGAGAATGAATGGCAGATGAGGAGGGAGAGGAGGAGGAAGAAGAGGAGGAGGAGGAGAAGGAGAAGAAGGAATGGCAGATGAGGGAGAGGAGGAGGAGGAGGAGAAGAAGGAATGGCGGATAAGAAGAGGAGGAGGAGGAGAAGGAGAAGAAGGAATGGCAGATGAGGAGGGAGAGGAGGAGGAAGAGGAGGAGGAGAAGAAGGAGAAGAAGGAATGGCAGATGAGGGAGAGGAGGAGGAGGAGGAGAAGAAGGAATGGCGGATAAGAAGAGGAGGAGGAGAAGAAGGAGAAGAAGGAATGGCAGATGAGGGAGAGGAGGAGGAGGAGGAGGAGAAGGAATGGCGGATAAGAAGAGGAGGAGGAGGAGAAGGAGAAGAAGGAATGGCAGATGAGGGAGAGGAGGAGGAGGAGGAGGAGGAGAAGAAGGAATGGTGGATAAGAAGAGGAGGAGAAGAAGGAGAAGGAATGGCAGATGAGGAGGGAGAGGAGGAGGAAGAGGAGGAGGAGAAGAAGGAAAAGGAATGGCAGGTGAGAAGGAAGAGGAGGAGGAGGAGGAGAAGAAGGAATGGCGGATAAGAAGAGGAGGAGGAGAAGAAGGAGAAGGAATGGCAGATGAGGAGGGAGAGGAGGAGGAAGAGGAGGAGGAGAAGAAGGAGAAGAAGGAATGGCAGATGAGGGAGAGGAGGAGGAGGAGGAGGAGGAGAAGAAGGAATGGCGGATAAGAAGAGGAGGAGGAGAAGAAGGAGAAGGAATGGCAGATGAGGAGGGAGAGGAGGAGGAAGAGGAGGAGGAGGAGGAGAAGAAGGAATGGCAGAAGGGAGAGGAGAAGGAGAAGAAGGAATGGCAGATGAGGAGGGAGAGGAAGAGGAGGAAGACAAAGATTCCTTGGTGCCCTTTGGTTGTTTTCTTGCAGACATGTCATTACCCAAACTAAGTAACACTATCAATGCTAGAAAGGAGGCGGTTTGCTGCAAATTACCTCCTTACCTTAGCACTGATGATGTTACCTAGTTGGGTCAAGAAACGTCTGCGAGAAAACCACCAAGCTCAGAGAGAACCAAGGACCCCACAGTCCTCCTCTTCCTCCTCCTCCTCCTCCTCCTCCTCCTCCTCTCTCCCTTAGCAACATAAATGTTGGGACTCAATTGTGGTTGCACGTTGAGGACTACCCGCATACGATTTCCTGCCTGAGCAGCGGGGTTGGACTAGAAGACCTCCAGGGTGCCCTTCCCGCTCTGTCCTTCTGTATTCTGTGCACAACTATCTATATTAGCAAGCCACGCATACCTGCAAAGAGAGTTTCCAGAGGCTCAGCGTGCTGGGAATTAATTGTGTTCCAGGCCGGGATTGAACCGCAACAGGGACAATGCAATTCGAGTTTGAAGCTGAGTTTCTTCCCTGATTGGGCGGAAAAGAACACAGCAAAAAGTCAGCAAAATGACTTTCTTGCAGGTTTTACGACCAGCCGTGGGCCCAGAATCCCCGTTTGCTAAGCAAAGGGGGCTGTTTGGGGAAGCCGTGCCTGATTTTACGGCCTTTTTTCCCCTGTGGTCGTTAAGTGAATCCATCCCCCCGCCCCCATTGATTTTGCTTCTCGGATGCTGCCACATAACCCTCGGATGCTGCAACCGTCAGTAATACATGCCAGTGGCCAAGCGTCCGGATTTTGATCATGCGACGGTCGTAAATGTGAGGAATCGGTCATAAGTCTGTGTTTTTTTTTTTCCCCCAGTGCCCCTGTTGCTAAACAAACGGTCGTACATCAAGGACTATCTGTCCTTTTGGAGAATGCTGATCGTTGTTATTGTCTCCCAGCCGAGCAAAGCCCTCTTACCTCTGTTCCTCAGCCAACGACGGACGTTATCGGTGACATCAAACGACACCCACTCGGCCCGATGCCTGGGCCGTAAAATTCGGCTTCCCACATAACGCTGAGTCTGGGCTGAAGGCTCCCTCGTTGGCCTCACCTAGAAATGAGAGAGTTCGTGGTATTTATTTATTTATTTTAATTTTAAGCTCCTCAGGCAGCTGTCCTAGTCAGTTTCTCAGCCTAATATCCCCAACAACAAGAGATTTAGCATGTAAAATCGGTGGCCGCGGCCCTTCAAAAGCCGCCTAACCTGAGAGAGCTCCACATGCTGCTCGGTGGCGTGAGATCCAGGATTCGGGACCTTGTAGATCCTCAGCTCCGCCTGGATGAGCTTGCTGGAGTTGGGGTGCGCAGCGGAGACCCCAAAGTGCAGGAACCGGAAGAAAGGGGTAGAGAAGGGGCCGGGGATGGAATCTGTGGGGTGAGAAACTCCGTCAGTGATTTTTTTTTTATTCAAGAAGATTATTATAATCAGGGGCGGGCTTCAAAAATTTTGGCAAGGGGTTCTCTGCCCGGTTACTGGATGGGCGTGGCCTAGTTAGCCTCCTGCACCACGGGGGGGGGTTTGCCCTCCCCAGGCTCCGGAGGCTTTTCTTGAGCCTCCAGGAGGGCGAAAACGGCTTCCCCAGGCTCCGGAGGCTTTTCTTGAGCCTCCAGGAGGGCGAAAACGACCTCCCCAGGCTCCGGAGGCTTTTCTTGAGCCTCCAGGAGGGTGAAAACGGCCTCCCCAGGCTCCGGAGGCTTTTCTTGAGCCTCCAGGAGGGCGAAAACGGCCTCCCAGCCTCCGGAGGCTTTTCTTGAGCCTCCAGGAGGGCGAAAACGGCCTCCCCAGGCTCCGGAGGCTTTTCTTGAGCCTCCAGGAGGGCGAAAACGGCCTCCCCAGGCTCCGGAGGCTTTTCTTGAGCCTCCAGGAGGGCGAAAACGGCCTCCCCAGGCTCCGGAGGCTTTTCTTGAGCCTCCAGGAGGGCGAAAACGGCCTCCCCAGGCTCCGGAGGCTTTTCTTGAGCCTCCAGGAGGGCGAAAACGGCCTCCCCAGGCTCCGGAGGCTTTTCTTGAGCCTCCAGGAGGGCGAAAACAGCCTCCCCAGCCTCCGGAGGCTTTTCTTGAGCCTCCAGGAGGGCGAAAACGGCTTCCCCAGGCTCCGGAGGCTTTTCTTGAGCCTCCAGGAGGGTGAAAACGGCCTCCCCAGCTTCCGGAGGCTTTTCTTGAGCCTCCAGGAGGCGAAAACGGTCTCCCCAGGCTCCGGAGGCTTTTCTTGAGCCTCCAGGAGGGCGAAAACGGCCTCCCCAGGCTCCGGAGGCCCACTGGAGGCCAGAAACGGGCCCTTTCCGAACTTCCGGTAGGCCCGTTTTTCGCCCTCCCTGAGCCTCCATGCGCACCCTGCATCCAAAACGGGCCGTGTGGGGACTCCTGGGAGGGGTGGGGTGGGCGGGGCCAGCCAGGAGTGGGATTTGGGGGTTCTCCGAACTGTACAGAATCTTAGCTAGAGGTTCTCCCCGAACCCTTGAGCAACCCCAGCAGCCCCACCCTGGATTATAATCTTGGCCCCTTTAAGACTTGCGGACTTCAACTCCCAGAATCCCCCAGCCTGCGTAGGAATTCTGGGAGTTGAAGTCCGCAAGTCTTAAAAGTTGCCAAGTTTGGAGACTCGTGCTTTAAATGATCAAACTATTTAAAATCTACAGCAGCACCCAAGATCCCTGATCTATCCATCGTGGCTGAAAAAAAGGGGGATCAGAAATCTAAAACAGCCACAGCACAAGGATACAGATATTGCTCCAACTTATGACCGCAACTGAGCCCCAAAACGTTCGTTGCTAAGCGAGACGGTTCTGAAGTGAATTTTACCCCCATTTTACAACCTTTTTTGCTGCGGCAGGATGTTAAGTTAATAACGGTCATTAAATGAACCTGTTAAGTGTCCGATCCCCCCCAAAAGGGGAATCACGTGACAGCCCCCCCCGGGATCACGGGACAAACCCCCCCCCGGATATTGTAACCGTCATAACAGCGAGTCAATTGCCAATGCATCTGAATTCTGATCACGTGACTACGGGGGGGGGGAAATACTGCAACGGTCGTTAAGTGCGAAAAGTGGCCGTAAGTCACTTTTTTTTCCAGTGCCGTTTCGGCACTTAAACGAACCCTTGTAAGTCGAGGACTATCTCCAAATCAGAAGCCTAGCAAAGCAGAACAGGGAAGCAATTTTCCTGTGGTTGATGATCCCCTCGCCTGGTATACTGCTCCTGGCTGTGGAGGCTCGTGCGAGTTACCATTTCCCCATCGTTCCGCCCTCTCTCTTCCTTCCTTACAGGGAGGCTCCCCACTTTCTCCTCTCTTTGCCAAGGGCCAAACCCTCCCCCCCCTTTTTTTTTTTACAAATACCCCCCCCCTTACTGTCAGCATGCCCAAACGTCAACATCTCCACCCGCCGGATTTCTTTGGCGTAATATTCCTCGTCTTCGCGCAGAGCCGCGCGTCGTCCCTCGCAGGTGGCCAGCTGCCTCACCGGCTCCCGCGTGCTGTTGTAGAGGAGCATCACCTCGGGGGGGCAAAGGATGAGGGACCCCTTCTTCCTTGGGGGGCGTCTCCAGCTGCAGCTTGCTAAGAATCTGGCCTCGGATTGCCTGAACCCTTCTGGCTCGCGCCGTTTCAAGATCCAAATTCTGGCACATGGAAAATGCGGAATCCGTAATGCGCGGGCCAAGGGTCCATGCGGCCATCACCAGGACAGAAAAGAAGAACATGCTTACAGGGGTGGGGTTTGGGGGCGGTGCCAGGTATCTCCCCCTCCTCACGTCCTTCCAGAGCCCTTGCTAAACCCAGAATCAATTTAGATCCTCTTCGGAGATAGTATCGGATCTTCGTTGTTCCTTCCCATGAGATTGTCCACCATCAGCTCCTCGCTTGTTCTTGGTGGGAACGTTCTGAAGTTCTCCAAAAATGTTTGTCCAACCACCACCTGAAGATCTGGTTCCTTGATTCTTCCCAGCAGGAGTTGGGGACCTTCTGAAGTTCTCCAAAGTTGTTTTAAGTCCACTGCTTGCTGACTCGATCCCTTGACTCTTCCTGGCAAGAGTTGGAGATCTTTTGAAGTTCTCCCCAAAATTTTTTTATATCCACTGCCTGATAACCTGCTTCCTTGATTCTTCCCAGCAAGTGTTGGAGATCTTCTGAAGTTCTCCAAAACAAATTTTCTATCCACTGCTTGCGGACTCGATTCCTTGACTCTTCCCAGCAAGAGTTGGAGATCTTCTGAAGTTCTCCAAAAAAAAAAATTCTATCCACTGCCTGATGACCTTGCTTCCTGGATTCTTTCCAGCAAGTGTTGGAGATCTTCTGAAGTTCTCCAAAGTGTTTTTTCTATCCACTTCCTGAAGATCTGCTTCCTTGACTCTTCCTGGCAGGAGTTGGGGGATCTTCTGAAGTTCTCCAAAGTTGTTTTCAGTCCACTGTTGAATGACCCAAATCCTTGATTCTCCTGATTCTGGCAGGAGTTGGAGATCTTCTGAAGTTCTCCCCCAAAAAAATTAATATTTCTGTCTGCTGTCTGATGACCAGATTCCTTGACTCTTCCCGGCAGGAGTTGGGGACTTTTGAAGTTCTCCAAAGTTTCTTTTTTATGTTCTGTAGAACCACACAACCCCTTGAACTAAGTTGCAAGGCTTTGGAGCATCTTTTGAGGGCCTTCTGTGGCCCCTAGACCCTCGTCATCCCTGCTCTGGATCTCCTCGGCTGGTCCACAATCCACCAGCAGCCTTTGCAAACATCTGCCGTTCAGCCTTCCAACCTCATCTCCGCCTCCTTCCTGCCACATGACGTTGCCACACAGAGCCACCATTGATGGCTGTTCTTTGCCAGCCGTTCAGCGAGACCTGGATAAATTTAGACCTTGGATTTCACCCACTTTGGGTGAATTTCCACTTATGTGAGAACAAGCACTGGCTTGTTTCGGGGGCCAAAATAAATCTCGATTTTTAATTGGAGGAAGAAATGAAAATAAGCAAATAACGCTGAATGGAGCCAAGCTAGCATCACTCTCGGAGGCCATGTTCCCAAAGGGTTTTTCAGAACTACAAACCCCATCAGCCCCAGCCAATTCAGCCAGGAATGAGAGAAGCTAGAAACTTCATAAATTTCCATGCTGGCCCTTTCTGTTCTGACCTAGGCTTCCAGTAAAAAGCACACGATTAGTCCCCAAAAAACTGTCTTTTTATTTCAACGGCTGTGAATTCTGTTCATTCACAGCCCGTGCCGAGTCACAAATAGTTTGTAAAGAGCCCGACAGAAGTCTGCCACAGTCCTTCGGGATAAGGTTGATCAACACCCACCTTTATCTCCCTTGACACGTTGCCAACGACCTAATTGGCCATTAGCTTTGCAAGGCCACACGGAGGACAGAGTCAAAAACGGAGCTTCGGAATTTAAACCGACCAGAACAAACAAAGTTGCTTCCTACAAAGGCTCATGTCCCTTTGCTCCACCTTTGTGCCTTATGGGAGGGGCCAATCATCTCCAAGCCTTACTCCCGAGTTGTCCCTTTTGTCTTAACTGTTCTTGCCTTCTGGCAGCTCTGCGCATGCGCGCACTGGGAACAGGCTCTCCCTGTTCCTCTGCCTCGCTGACGTCTAGATCTGGGTTAGTTCTGAGCCTGGTTTTTTCTGGTTTTGTGGCTGCTTTGGGTACAGTTAGGATTAAGAGACTGTACGAATGCAGAAAAAGATAAACTAAGAGTTCTGGGTAAAACGTGTCTTCTGAATGTTACCAATGGGTGTTTGTTTTGGAAACACGCACTTTCTCGGCTTCGGAACCTGGACATCAAACTCTCCTAACTCTGGATCTTTTTTCTGCTTTTCTGGCTCTGTGGAATGTTGGTTTGTGGGAAAATCCTGGAGATTTTAGTACTATTTTTCGGCTAATATCAAATTTCTGGATCTTTAATTATTCTTAGGGGATTGAAGTCCACCCCTCTTAAAGCATTGCTGGCTGGGGGATTCTGGGAGTCGAAGTCCACCCCTCTTAAAGCATGCTGGCTGGGGGATTCTGGGAGTCGAAGTCCACCCCTCTTAAAGCATGTTGGCTGGGGGATTCTGGGAGTCGAAGTCCACCCCTCTTAAAGCATGCTGGCTGGGGGATTCTGGGAGTCGAAGTCCATCCCTCTTAATTAATTTATTTATTTTATTTATTTTATTGAATTTGTATACCGCCCTACTCTCGAAGGACTCAGGGCGGTGAACAGCCATAGAATAAAACATATAAATACAAAATTTAAAATAGAATAAAACGAATTAAATAATTTGGCTGAACAAATTTAAAGTCACAGAGTTTGAGAAAAACTCTTGAAATTACCTTCTCGCATCCCGGAGGAGGATTTCTGCATCAACATACCCCCCCTTGAGGCCATCACTCACTCTTTTCATCCATAATAGATTCCCTAGCTAGATCAGAAGCAACCGATCACCCCCTTGGGGGAGAAACCAGTCTGAAGGCTGCATCTGGGGCAGGATCTGAACTCAGACCTTGCCAGTGTCTCCCGACGCTCATCTAGGGCGGGACGGCCTTGTTTCTTGGATGGGGAAGGGGCGAACCCCACCTCCAGCTACCTAACCCTGATGAGGTCCATCTAGCTTGCTGCAAAAGCAGGTGGGCCCTTGGCAAATTCTGCTATCCACCCCTCACCCCCCAAAATTCTCTGTGTCTGCCAACCGATCGATCTGAATCCAGGACTAATGTGGGGCAAATGCCAAGCCATTAGCAGACAGTCCAGCGGAGCCAAAGCCTCCCATGCCAAGTCTCATTTAACGTCGTTTTTTCCTCCCCTAGATTTTCAGTAGCTGTTTTGGCTCTGCCTTTTACACTCCTCGAGATTTTCCTTCTTCACGCACACATGTCTTTTGGTTTCCTTCTTAGCTTTTTTATTTTTATGGACTCTTTTGAAGGGTGTGTAAATGTGGTTTACCTCTATGTGTCCGTCGATGGCTTTTTTTAAAAAAAAATTGATATAGCTAATCCTCAACATACAACAGTTTTGTTTAGTGACCGTTCGAAGTTACGATGGGAGTGAAAAAAAGCGACTTAGGACCATTTTTCACACTTATGACCTCGGCAGCATCCCCCAGGGTGGAATTTTACATTCAGATGGTTGGCAATTGACTTACATTTATGGCGATTGCAGTGTCCCGGGATCACGTTGATGGGAAAAGCCATATTCACTTAAAAATCGCATTACTAATTTAACAACTGCAGTGATTCCCTTAAGAAATGTAGTAAGAGAAGTTGTAAAATGGGACAAAATGAATTTCTCACTTAACGACATAAATTCTGGGCTCAATTGGGAGTCGTAAGTCGAGGACTAACTGTACCTAGAACAGCAGGTCTCAATTTGATGATGCAACTAAAGGATTTTTTTCTCCAGATTTGGAAATATGGTGCCAAATTCCAGACTGTGGGAAAGATTGAACAGCTAATGTTTTTATTTCTATTTTTATTTTTATTTTTATTTTTCATTCTGCCATTGAGTGAAATAGGAAGCTGTCCATTTTGGGGAGAAGTGTGACCTCTATTGGCCAGTGTTGGGACTGCAACACTGGAGACAGGAAACCAGCTAGGACTCTTTAAGATGTGATGGTTACAAATCCCATCATCCTCAGCTAGGAGGGCCTGCCCTGGAGCAAATGAAGAGCCACTTCTCGGTCCGAATCATCTAAGCTAGTGGGGCTCAACTTCAGCAATTCCCAAAATTCTCCAGCCTGTGTGCATTCTTGCAAAGATCCCGAATTTTGAAGCCGCATAAGTGTAAATTCGCATAAATTCAGAATTTCAGCAGAATCACAGGAAGGAAGGAAGGAAGGAAGGAAGGAAGGAAGGAAGGAAGGTAGGGAGGGAGAGAGGAAGGAAGGAAGGAAGGAAGGAAGGAAGGAAGGAAGGTAGGGAGGGAGAGAGGAAGGAAGGAAGGAAGGAAGGAAGGAAGTTATCTCTCACTGCCTCTTCCTTTTTGCAGCAATGTATCTCAATTTATTACAATATATATCTCGTTGCAACTATTGCTGTCTATCACTTTATTTTTGCAACAATGTACCTCTATTGCAATATAGATAGATAGATATAGATATATCTTATGGCAATATCTATCACTTCCTCTTCCTCAGTTTTGCAACAATGTATGTCCATGTCTATAGATATATAGATATAATACCTGTAGCA